ATTTTTGTTTTTAATTATGTTATGTGTATTCTGCGCAAAAATAAATGGTTTTTCTTTCTTTCTTCTTTTCTAAATAGTTAAAAGTGGGTTTTACATTGTACAGTTGGATTAAGTACCGAAATGTGCACCTCTAATTTCCACTTCGGGGATAAAAATAGAATGCATGTATAAATGCGATACATTCATTTCTTGATTCCATAGCTACAAATTATAAAGAATATCGCCGATTTCATTTATAGAACTTACCCACTTATAGTATCTAAACGAGCGGTTAATTGCTTCGCACTTAAAACGCCTGTTACTTCTATTTTTAACTGTCTTAAGTACTATTTTCAATTGAATAGGTGTTTTAGTGTTTTCGTAACAATATAGTTAACATTATAGTTGGTCTTTTATTGCATTGAAGACAATTTCAATCACACTACAGGTGGTCCTAGTCCTTCACATTTCTTCAAATCGGACGCAAAGCTAAATATGTTTTATTTAATTAGCTTTTTCAGCGCTACTTCATCTTCCTAATGAAAGGAAATTAGTGACCTCTATCAGATTAGCTTCCTAGCTATCAATCCTGTCTATAAATAACACGGTTGCGATGTGAACGAAAGACAAAATCACTGAGATTTATATAAAACTAGCGGACCCGACAGACGTTGTCCTGCATATAATATAATAATAGGTCTAGATAAATAACCTAGATATCGACTGCAGCGCCATCTGCCTGGCTGATTTGTGAATCTAAACCATCCAGGGTGCCACTCAAACGCATATAGAAAAATTCATTTAAATCGGTCAAGTCGTTTAGGAGGATTTCAATGACATACACACGTACAGCAGAATTATTTAAATAAATATAGACTGAAAAACTATGAAAATCAAATTTTAGTCTACATGTGCAATTGTGCAAGTCAGAAACAATCCAGCCTACTAATTCAAAACCAAGAAGGCGTGAATACCAACAGTAGGAACTTTAAAATAGGCCAAATAAATGCTAGTAGGTAATAATGACACGGTACAGATTTTAGGACAAATTACGACACACGTCTTTGCTCAATTGACTCCTACAATCGCCCAAGATTTGTGATAAGTCCATATAATCTTGTTCTTTCATTCATTCATGGACATTGTGACGTCATTGGTAGGGCATGTTACCTACGCCCACTAGGACACAACTACATGTTTCCGTCTGTTGATTCATAGTACTTTGAATAGCTGATACTATACTATACTATGATTTTAATAAAAAAAGAGAAACGCTTGAAAATACTGAAATACAATTTGTGAAACTTATGCCTGTTTTCATCAACGTCTATAAAATTTTAAAGAATCCCTATACTTAGATAGGTGATATTTACAGATATTTTGGTCTCACCAACCTATAAAAGTAATACCTAAGGGTGCCTCCACATTTTTTTTATGCCATAAGCCAGTAAACGATCGTTGGGTATTCCGGGATTGGGAAGATTGGGGAAGGGGAATTGGGCCTCCGGTAACCTCACTCACACGACGAAACACAACGCAAGCGTTGCTTCACGTCGATTTTCTATGAGGCCGTGGTATCACTCCGGTCGTGCCGGCCCATTCGTGCCGAAGCATGGCTCTCCCACACTTTAATCTGGTGAATGTGCCGATTGCGAGCTGCCCGCGAGCTTCGCGCGTACAGTCATGGCAATGGTTTGGTGCTCACCTCATACAAGGTTCGTAATCGTATAAATAATAATTTTAAATGCACGTGAACCGCTCGGCTGCGATGAGCTGCGCATTCGCCAGATGTGGACGCACCCTAACAGTATAAGTAAGCAGTTAGTTTAGGTGCTAGGTCGCTAAGTAACCTTTAGTCAAGAGATGATTAAGAGGTAGTTAGTAAAACAGGCATTAATGTCTTTATAGCCACAGCACCTAAATTTCCTTTGGGCCTTTGATTTAGAGAGAGCCTGTGTGTACTAAGCACAAGTTTGAACTCGTATTTAGGATTTTTTATCAATCTTAACTCGTCGAGTACAGGTTTTGTAGACACAATTACAGAACAATAGGTTGCGGTCACCGGTGACCGCTTGGTGTTTGACAGTTTAAGTAACATACTAAACTCCAAATTGTGACTAAATTTTTAGCGAAAAATATCTTTCGTAACAGCGCGACTATGCCCGAGACTAGTCGAGTTCCTCGTCGAACAGTTACGTGAATAAGCCAGAAACGTAATTATTGATTTAGAAAAGTATCTTATCTATCAATGTCTACAATGCCAGATATGCAAAGTATCACCACTTTAGGGAACAGGGAGTATAGTTCCCTAAGATCGGAAAAGGAGGATCCTCCGACCAGGCGAGGCGATCGTGCCCAACAGTCATTCGTTGTGATTTTCTATTCGCATGTACAATGTGCAATGTAGGATATTTGTGACGTCATCCGATGATTTATTTTCATCGACATTTGACGTGTGATGTGTCGCCACAGTACTTATCCCAGTCGTCATCAGCCTGCTTCAATCCGCTACATGACATAGACCACTAACCTCAGTTAGGCAGAAGGGATTTTTCAGTAATATTGTAGTCTCTTACTACAATATTACTGAAAAATAGTACACTATTAACGATCATACTACCTACTTCAAAGATTAACAAGCGTGATATATGTATGGGTACAAAGCCAAGGTTCAAGAGCAAAGATCCTTCCATCATATCACGAACCCTCTGGCCATTTAAAATGCTATATAATATCGCAAATTAAAGACGAAAGCGCCCAAAATTCTGAGGTCAACGTCCTTCAGTCCTTCAGGTTAGTTTACTCAAAGAAGTGTCAGTTCGAGAAATACAATTGGCTTTATTCAACCAACAAGATCTATTTGTTCCAGTAATTATCGTTTTAGTAACATCTAGCCTCCATAGTCATCTTCAGTTACATTGTTTTCTAAAAGGTTATCCTGCAGAGTCTAGCATTATACCTGGTATAGTACCTACGTAATTTTTTTTTTAAACTTTGCTCCCCACTACGATTTTCTCTTGACGAATCAAGAGAAAATCGATTTTCTCTTGATTCGTGGGTGCGTTTACAAACATACAAGTTCACATACACATGACACTCAGATCCGGAACAACAATCTGTGGATCACATAAAGAGTTGCTCCGTGCGGGAATCGAATATATCTTTTGCATTATATCCACCCAAATATTGTCTGGTACAAATCGCTACAAAGTGATAAGGCAGCGTTTGTGCCTATTATTTTTCTATATTTATGTTTGTCATTTCTGTTTTCTTTATGTACTGTATTATTAATGGTGTGCAATAAATATTATTCTTTACTATTCTCTTCTACGTCTAACCCTTCAAAAAAGTAAAGGCAAGTTTAAATAACAAACGTTTAAATCACTCGAAAATAATTGGAATCCATCTTTTGGGATCAATGTAATCCTATTCTTGACCTTGGTACAATAAGCGTTAATTGTTTAGCTCGGCGTATTGACGGCATCGCCTCTATTATAGCGGCTTACGGTAACCTCACTCGCCCTGACCTCACAGCAATTGCGGGAATTACGAGTACGTGTGAGTAAGGACGAGGATCATAATTATGAGTAATGGATACTCTGGTTACTTAAATATAATATATATGGTTATTAAATAGCAAATAAATGTTATTTTACCAAAAGCTGCGATTTTGTCGAGTATGTTAAGTCTTGATTTCAATTAGACTGATAAAGTTACATCGTTCTCACTATATATAATAGATAAAGGATCAGACGGTATCAATGAGATTGTAAAAAAAATGTTTTAAAGAGTAATATTGCAATTTCTTGCTTGTTCTTCTCCATTCAAAACTACGCTTTGGAACGAGCGCCTAGCTTCACTGACAGACAGACGGACGGACAATTCAATTTTTGACGTTTCAAAAGTGCTTAATTAAGGATTATTTGAATTAAATGCTTTGACTTTAACTAAGGGCTGGTTTAAAATTGAAAAATGTAGAAATACCGTTCATTATATGTTGCCTTCTCCACAATCATATGTGTATATTTGAAAATGGTTTCTTATAGATAAATAATTATAACACATATGATACAGATAAAGCTACGTGTAAAATATATAGGTTAGTCTTATCGCACTCTGATATAAAATAAAAAAACGAAATGCTTTAGTCTGTGCAATTTTTATAACACATTTATTTCAAAAAATAAAATTAACTGAGTATTACGTACATTTTTGCTTGCATAGAAAACAATTAGTAGCTATACTGTTGATTTAAAAAGTACTAAAAGAAACTACAATTACTTCTAGTGATCCCCTACTAATTTCACACAAAAATCTGTAGGGAGACGTTTCTAAAACTACAAACAAAATCACAGGTACTTTGTCTCAAAATCTTAATTGTTAATACTACATTAATTAAGATTGAAGTTACGCTAATGAAATTTAATGTTTTCTTAAGCATTTAGACGTGAATGGATGAAATAGAAAGCCATTTAGCTTACTAAAAAATATACCTACGTTTTTTAATCTAACGCGCATCGAGCTCGATACATAGGTAGGTATGATATACAAATAAAACATAAACATACATAATAATAAAAAAAAAACTTAGATGGATGATATTATGGTAATATAACTGGACGAAATATTACTATAAATATGATGATGGAATATTGACAAAGATTGCTATAGATATCGTTAGCATTATTTTGTCATTGTGTTGTAGGTAGCTCTATTTCCTATTAATATCTAATTATTCTAAGAATTGGGATGATGATAAAATGTATGAAAATAAAAATATAATTAGTCCGTAAAGTAATGAAAAAATATTAGACACGTATTTTTTTATTTTGTCCTATAATAAAACAATACTGAGATAAAACGAATCAAAGTTTAGGAGTGGGGCGAAAACGTCATTTCTACGTATAAAATGTAGGTACATAAAAGTGACGTCACGCGACATTTCAAATCACTACTGTCGAAAGTATTCGTTTCTATAAGAAAATAAAAAATACGTGTCTAATGATTTAAAATAATCAACCAGACGGACATTAAAATAAAAATTAGGCATCTACCCTATTATATAATTCACTATAATAGGTACATACTTAGTACCTATTGATGAACTACTTGAAATATATACAGGTATTATATATATTAATACATCTAATTTGCTGGCTTGACTACACCACAGCTATGCGTCGTCTTCGCCATTAAATATAAAGATTTATCAGAAGCAATGAGAATATTATTATTGTTGTCAAAAGTCATAGCTCCAATCAAAGGGAGATTGGTTACCTTCTCAATCCTTGAATGGATTATATTCTTTGAAATTGTAACTTTGTAGATACCGTCCAACCACCACGCGTACACTTCACCATCCAAATCAACAGCAAGACCTCTGAAGAAAGCGTTCTTAGAGAGACGATGCACGACCTTTCCCTTACTAACAAACAAGCCCAAATTACTTAAGAACACAATAACATTAACAGTGTCCTTTTCAACCACCACAAACTTCTTTACAGTCCAATATTCTAGAATAGTCTTGAAGTAATCTCCCTGTTTGACAATTATCCCTTTGTCGTCATATCGAACAAAATAAACTTGGTTTTTATAAAATACATTCGTTATTGTATCGCCTCGACTACTATATGACGCCATTTGATTGTTATTCGTATCCAAAACGAATATGCCATCGCTGCCGCCGAAATAAATTTGTCCATTAGCCTGATCTATGTCAAAAGTCCCCAGATTAAGGATCTGACTCCCAGTAATGATGCCATGGTAACTAAGATCTTCAAGCTTGACGAAACCAGTTTTGTAATATTCTTCGTCTTCGAAAACTGGTTCGAAACTGAAGTAGAGCATGTTTTTGGACCTGAGAAGGTCCATTTTGGTAATGACAACCTGTTTTCTGAAGGGAGCGTCGAGATCGAAGAGGTAGGACATGTTGTAACATGTTGTGTTCATTAGGAGGCACGAAGGACATGGTGGTTCTGTGACCATGTCTACATCGGCGGCTGCGGTCACGGCCAGCAGGAATATGAAGATAATCATGGCAGAATCTGTAATAGAAAATATTGGATTAGGGTCAATAAAAGGCACTTAGATACAAGGTCCAAGATACAAGATCCAAAATTTACCTAAATAACTAATAGTTACCGCGTAGCATCTACGTAGTACATATTCATTCTACACCCTGTAATTCCCAGCTATATTATTTATTAGTCATATGTAATAGGAGACGCACTAATTACCCTACACCTGGACTTTGTGCTGGTAGTCATAATTTAAAAACAAAACTGTTTCAAAGCAATAACGCTTAATCGGCACGTAAATTGAAGTTTAGACATTGGATGATTTTCCACGCGTTTCTACAGTTATTAATATAATTTTTATACACGAACCTAACCGATACATACAAGTGTGGGAGAGCCATGCTTCGGCACGAATTAGCCGGCTCGACCGGAGTGATACCACGGCCTCACAGAATACCGACATGAAACAACGCTTGTGTTGTGTTTCGTCGTGTGAGTGAGGTCCAATTACCCCTAAGCATTCCCAAATTCGGAGTCGCGGAGAACCTAACGGGTAACCAGGGCTCCGACTCGACGTGCAGGAGAAGGAACGGGGTGGTTTTTAGTCAGTAAGAGTGTGACACTCCCTCCCGCCTCACCCAGGCGGGAGGAGTCATTCGATGATTTTCCCCTCTTAAAAAAAAAAGCATTCCCAATTGACAAAAGGCCGATAATGCACTTGTAACGCCTTGGTGTTCCAAGTGTCCATGGGCGACGCCGACGCCGATTGCTTACCATCAGGTGATCTGTCAGCTCGTTTACCGGCTTATCCCATAAAGAAAAATGATCAATCATCAATTTAAAATGACTATTAACAATTTTTATTTAATATCCATAACATTACATTGAGTATTAAATACCTCCACAATCAACAACAAACATAAGAAGTCAAACAATTCAGTAACAACTCAGTCATATTTTTTTTTTCAAATAAATAACCGTTCGGTTTCGACCACAACACAGAAACATCAAGCCTACGTTATGCTAACAAAGTAAACAAACTTCTGAATAGGTTACATTTAGTGCCAAAATGCCACTAAAGTTCCAACTACGTGACAAAACGTTGTTTATTTGTATTCGCGTTGACCTACATTTCAGAATTCATTTGTTTTAGATATTCGCACGGACTAAAATGCTAAAACACTAAAAACTTCACTCTTCTCTGTCACTTGTCGATAATGTAGCAAACAGACTTTAAAGAAAAAATCCCTACCTAACCTAATGCCACAGGTCACTTTTACCACAAACTAAATTCTCATTTTTTCTACCGAACAAAGCACAAAGAACGCGGGAAATCGCTTCAATTTATACACTCTTAAACTTCGTAACTAAAAACCAACAAAATGTATTATACCGTTCTATTTCTCGTTCACCCCGACTGATTCAAAATTGGAACAAATCGAATACATACATCGACATCACTATATTTTTTTAAAACGTTCACATCACATCGTTCGCGTTTTAAAATAAAGTAACGAATGAAAAAAAAAAAGTTGAGAGCAAATACGGGCCAAGGCTCGAATAGCGGAAAGCTTATGAACGAATCTAGGGCGCTTTTGTAGTAAGATCGATAATGTCACGCGACGTATACTCATTAAATATTAAACGCTATCAGTGGAATTAGAAGTGCACTTAGCGCATTGAAAACTGTGTCACTGAATGGAACGGGAGATCGATTTATTGCTTCCTTTTTTTCCTCGGTTTTTTACAACATTGTTTTAAGTGTATTATTTAGGAGCTCGGCTGTAGAGGGTTGCTTTTACGTGACACTTCAACCGCAGAAACATACGTTCAGAATGTATAGAGATATAATTATTGTAACTCTCCCAGTTAGTATAGGTATTAATTATTTATTGGACCTATCTATGTTTTGAATTTTATTTAGAGTTTTTATTTAAAACTTCCGCCATTATTATGCATTTGTAAGGTTATATTGTGGCGCAATTTGATTATTGCGTCAAAGTTGTCATCACTGCTAAGTGCAAACTATGCACTTTAATAAATTAAATAAAGATTTTCATACATTTCAGCAATTACACAAACACAACTTTCCACGGAAGGTATAAAAAAGAAAACCAACTTGTTATTTCAAAATATCTGAGTTTCTTCAGTATCCTATCTTTACTGTAGAAAGTTTTTACATACACCTTATCCTCAACTTACAATGTTAAAGAAAAAATATCTGCAATAAGTATTACACTTACATTTTTCTACATTATAAAGTCGAGAGTTAGGGTGCGTCCATATCTAGCGAATATGCCGCGCGCGATCTGTTTGCCGCAAGCTGCGAGCGTGCGTCACGGCAATGGTTTAATGCTCAACTCGTACAGAATACGTATAAATAATAATTTTAAATGCACGCGCGCAGGCGAGCGGCTCGCGAGCTGCGCATTCGTGAAACATTCGCGGGCGGCGCAGAAGCGGCGCACGAACAAAAATGCACGCGCAGCTCGCGGACAGGTCGCAAACGGCTCGCGAGCTGCACATTCGCCAGATGTGGACGCACCCTTACGGCTTAATGCATCATCATTATCCATATACAAAACATTAAAGTGTTTCATTGTTGGATCAGCATGGATATTACGAAGTAAATCTTTGTTGCAACGTTCTGGAACAATCTCCGTACAACTTTGTTGATAATAGTTTTTCTTTTCTCTCTATGATTCATTTGTTTTGTTCAGATCTCTTTGTTTATCTCTGTGCCCTTTGAGGCGAGATGTAAGTGGGGTTTTTTGTTTTTTTTTTATGTTAAAACACCAGTATTTAGATCCAGTGTTTAATTACTATTTTTTTAATAAGAAAGGTTTTAGTTTCGCCCTTTTGGCTCTTAAGGCTGATAGTTGTGGTACTAGAGAAGTACCTAGTACAGAATAAAAAAAATCGTAAATACATAACTGGGTAAATTTGCCTTGGTACTTCATTCTTCACCAACAAGGTTTTGGTGATAAGTGAATTCCTGCAGTGAACTGTTGAGGGCTTAACAGTTCACTGCTGAGTATGGGTCTCCACTACATGTGATCTCTACGCTTGAATAGAATTTTTCATTAGTTCTATAGAGAAGTTAAAACAACTGAAGAAAAATCTAAGTATACTATTTATGACTGTGCAATGTAAAATGCAGAAAAAGCTTGACTAACTTAATAATTAATGGTTGCTTACCAGGCAAGATGGCGGCCAAACGTCATCTGATAGGATAGATCATGAATATAAAAAACAAGTAATCTATATAAATAAAAATTATTTTCGTTAGTCTCGCTAAAACTCGAGAAAATCTGAACCAATTTGGCTTACTTTGGTCTTGAAATGTTCGTGGAAGTTCAGGGAAGGTTTTAAAGGTAAGAAATAAATTAAAGTAAGTAGTAAAGGATATACGGATATTCAAGAAGTATATAGGTTGGAGATAATATTGGTTTTAGTAAACAACTATGAAATACGGGACAAAAACAATTTCAAACTTATTCAGCGTTGTAGATTTTAAGCAGAAAGGATATGCTCTTGTCCTGAACACTGTTCCGGTTCACGGAAGCGACAGCTTTGAAAATATAACATTATTTACGATATTATAAAATCTTTACTTAATATACAAAATCTTAGAGTAAAAGTTAAGATGGCCGAGTGGTCGCAAGTGCGACTAGGCAAGGGGTCTCAGGTTCGATTCCCGGACCGTGCAAAGTATTACTGAATTTAAAAAAAATCTCAGTAGTAGCTCGGAGTCTGAAAATATGCCCGGTATATGGCAATATTATGAGTCCCATGTAATAGAAGGTGCCCTATATAAATATAAATAGTGAAAAGTGGGTGTTACTTCTGTGTGCACCTCTGCCTACCCCTTCGGGGATAAAAGGCGTGATGTTATGTGTAGTTAAAGTTAAAGAAATATTGCCATTCATTGGATTTTGAAGTCAGGATAATTATTTTAAGTTTTTAACCGAATTAAAAAAGGAGGTTCTCAATTTGACCTGTACGTGTGTATGTATGTTTGCGTGCGATTATCTCGCAATTGACTGAACCGTTTTTGATGCGGTTTTCAGAAAAGTGCTTGTAACCCTTTTTTTTAAGGTTGGAAAATCATCGAATGACTGTTCCCGCCTGGGTGAGGCGGGAGGGAGTGTCAGACTCTTACTGACTAAAAACCACCCCGTTCCTTCTCCTGCACGTCGAGCCGGAGCCCCGGTTACCCGTTAGGTTCTCCGCAATATTTTAGTATATTATTTAACACACTTTAAAAAAAGATGGGATTCTGTCTTTTTATGTCTCACGATATTATACAACGAAGTTTTTATATCTCGAAATAGTAAGAAGGCTGAAAAGCTATCGGTAGGCTACTTAGTTCATTCTCTTAAGCCACGGGGGCAAGTCAGCGCACGTAATTTAGTCCTAGAATTACAATTAATTGTAACATACTTTATCTTTTATATACCACGAAGGTGGCAACAAGCACACGGCCCACCAAGTGGTAAGCGGTTACCGTGGCCTATGTACGCCTGCAATACTTGGGGCATTACATGCGTCTTGAGATGAAATTCCTCTGAAACCGAACTGTACGGGACCATTTGGGCTCCAATGTGTGAGTTACGTTCCCAGTTGTTGAAGCAGAGGTCTATAATCATGCAAGATGTTAGCATGCATGCATTAGGCGATTAGGCTCGCCCCTTATTACATACAATTTGTTAACTATTGGCAAAATTTGGAAGGTGCCTACATTTTGTTTTCTTCCGTACCTCTGTCCACCCTTTCGTGAAATTGAATAATGTGTAGCTGTGAAATGATATTTTGTTAGTATAGATGGCTCTCTTTTTTACACGTTCGAAAACCGTGTCGATGAAAGCACATCGTCCAATGAGTTTTTATTGTTGATACGCCGTGAACCATAAAGTACGCATACTAGTATTTTTTTTTTAGCCGAATTGTTATGGATTGTTGTGTTATTAAAGCAGTGCTTGATTTTGTTATTATTGCAAACTCTATGCTATCTTATTACTATTGTTTTTTTGTTGTTTGTTTGTTTAACGCGCTGATCTCCGTAACTACAAGTCTGATTTGAATAATTCTTTTCTGTGTTGGATACCGCATTTATCGATTTGAATTTTATTTTTGATTTTTTAAAAAACGTTGCCCCACACTAGGATTTTCTCCTGTGTCGTGGGTGCGTTTACAAACATACAAGTTCACATACACAATGACACCCAGACCCGAAACAACAATTTGTGGATCACACAAAGCGTTGTCCCGTGCGGGAATCGAACCCGCGACACGTTGCACGGCAGCCGGTTGCCCAGCCACCGCACCAACCGTGCAGTCGAGGATGGCTATAGGCTATAAAACATCACACTACGACCAAGAAGAGCTGAGCAGAGCGTGTGAAGCCGCGCAGAAGTAGCTGGTACATTATACGTATACTAAACGATTACTGAAAAGCAATAAGTAAATAAATTTTGAGACTTGTGAAAATCACGACCTACGAGTGACAACCGTACTTGTAACCACACTACCAACGGGAACTAAGCTCTTTTTGTTTATAATTTGTTATGAAATGAGTTTTATATATTAAAAAGTTGTAGGTAGTCTGCACTTAAGTTTTATACCAATATAAATTATTCATGACCATATCACATTAAAAATAATCAATATTTTAAAACCACCTATTTTTAGGCAAGTAGGTAATTCTAAGCTTTTCGAACAATAAACAACAAATAAATCTCACCTTTATCATCAAAGCGTAAAAATCCAAAATCGAGTGCACATTTTTCACATAGATTGGCCGTAAAAGAAACAAACGAATTACTAGACAGAAACAAACGCGTGCTCTCAATCCAATCGGGAGCCACAATGTGTACCGCTTCAAACTGTTACCTTTTTAAATACCAAATTACCACATACGTTACCACCAAAAAACAAAGAAACAGAAGGTAAACTTCAAATTAGTCGCACATGAAAATAACCTTTATGATATTTTCGAAAATTTTATACTTAACTGTTTTTCAACATATTCTAGTGTACGTCTGTTGAGATCCTAAAGTAATTCTAGACTAGACTATCAAGATGTTCCTGCCTACACATTTCGTTAAATTAGGTCTAGTAAAGTGACCTAGTGAAATGAAATGTAGTAGGTATCTACGATTCTATTGCCGTAGTATAATTGCATGATATTCCTAAGCATATAGTTATTCTTTTAGTTGATTCTGGAAGATGCACAATACGAATATCAAATCCTTTAGTTTAATATATGTATCTAGAAACAATATTTTAATAGATTTTCAACCCAATGACACTTAAAAAGGAATAAACTAATTCCCTTGCGTTAATTTGTAATTGACATTTCTCATATTTTTCAGTGATGACTTTGTCTAAAGGAGTAACATTACCGATTCATGGTAGATATTCCACCCACACGCACGAAGCCCTTCGCATGAAGCTTCCTTGTGCTATGCCAGAGTCTGTGTTTCCTGAAGGGTACAACCTGGGTGTCTTCAAGGCCCGACATGAATAGGTTGCTTATGGGAAGACGTGCTCCATCATAT